TCCCTACCGGCTCAGGGAGCAAGGACCCCAGGCTGCCTGCGTGCTGAGAAAGGGCCCTACGTGCCCTCTTGGACCCTTCTTTCCCCATCCAGGCCGGGGTGCCTCCTGGCCCGCAGTCAGGCTAACCTCTCTCCTCATGTCTCTCCCCAGAATGCCCTGCCCATGTTTTCCGCTGCGGACTGGGCCCTGGCTGTCTGTACTCACATGGGAGGCAATGCAGGGGGCTCTGGCATTGTAGCGAAGGGTACTGGGAACACCAAGGACCTTCAGGGGGCCCTGACTGCTGCACTGGAGTTTGCCCGGAGTAGACTCTGAAGTAAGGATGATTCCTTGTTTTGTGGGGTCAGCTGGAGGCAGCAGGGCTGCCCGTCTCAGGGATGTTGCCACAGAGCTGTCCCTTTGCTGCACCACATTTCAGCCTCCGACCAGCTCTGTGTCTTGGGTGGCTTAGCAGCTCCCATTGCTGAATGCTGCTGCCAAGCACTGTGGATCAGGGATCTCTGGCTTCCTGCCACCAGGGGTCAACATAGGAATGGGGGCAGAGTCGGGCCGACCATCTTGCCCCATAGGACTGACTGGAGGAAGCAGCTGACTCTGCTTCTGGCTGTCTAGCCTGGATTCATGGGGATTGTCACAGAAGGAGCCAGTTTTTCTCCAGCTTGGGGGGAGGCTGTGCCATGGCTGGGAGAGATTTACCGCCATGTGAGCCACATGCACAAGGAAGCTCTGTGGGGGAGAAGGGGAACTGTGCAATGGTATCCTGAAGCTAATAAAGAACTGAGATTGACTGAGCTGCTGACACCTTTTTCTGATTAGCTGCAGTTTCCTTTCTGGTCCAGTGCAGCAAGGCCTCATGGGAGTTCTGTCCCTGCAAACCCTACCCTCAGCAGCTGCTTTAACTATTCTCCTAGCAGTGCTGTTCACCTTCAAAGTGCAGGTCAAGGACACACTCCACCAGGGCCGGTAGCGTAATAGCATCGTCCCCATCTTACAGAGAGGGGAGCCAAGCAGCGCAGAAACTGGCCTGGGAAAGTCCTCTAGCTCACTATCTCAGCCAGTGCGGGGTAGCTTCTGCAGTGTCTAGGGTTGTGTCCAGTTCCTGGTGGTGGGGTTTGCAGCCCTTCCCCAGGGGAGCTCATCCTGCAGCCCCAGAGATATCGGTGTTAGGAATGTGTTCTGGCTATTCAGCCTGTTTGCTTTGTGTGCATCCCATTAAACCTCCTCCTCCTCCCCCCTCCACCACTCTCCTAATGCTTCCCTTCTCAGGGCTAGTGTCCTGCTCCTCTGGTTTGTTACATTCAGCCCTGGCCCTTATTCACATACCAAGAGCAAACTCAGCCATGGGGGGATGTCTATAGAGAGTCAGGAACATGTTTCCCAGAACATCCTGGGCAGCAAACACTGTTGCACTGGTGCTGATGTCATGGCTGTACCAATATAGAAACAACCTGTGGAACTCCCTGTAGCAGGAGATAGTAAGGCCCAGGCTGCACTGGGCTTTAAAAGGATTGGTTGATTTTTATGAACACTAATAGCATATACGACTCCACAAACTCACATGACCTGGGTAATTTAAACCTCATTATTATGTGTATTACAGCAGTGCCTGGAGCCCCTGCCGATCTAAAGCGAAGACACTTGCAAAGGCCTTGCAAAACTTGGCTTATGCCAAGATGCAGAAGGTGGGGGGAGGGAAGGACTGACAAGGTAAACTGTGAAATCGCTGTAAGCAGTAGAGGTAGCTCACCCCTGGCCTGGTCGTTATCAGCTGCTAGGGTTCGGGAGGCATCACAGCAGCGTTGAGCTTGAAGGATGAGGTAGTAGCGGCATGGATTTTCGGGGGAATTGTCCCATTCATAAAGGGTGGGATGGGGGAAAGCCTGGATGCACAAAGGTACTTTGGTGTTGCAATGCTGAGTGTCACAGCGCCTAACTGTTAGGGGGTAGAAAATCACAGGAACATGCTGCAAGTCACAAAGCCTGAGTTCAGCACCTATCGTCCCTACAAAGTGCATGGGTGAGACAAGCGCTTTAGACTGCACATCCCAAAAGCCAGCATGGTAGACAGGGAGCTGCCTAAGCTAGCCCATGGGAGATGCTGACCAGCAGGGGATGTGCTAAGCCCTGCTCCTCTCACAGAGACAGGCACCTAAGTCCAGGCAGGGAGGTGTGTATCTCTTCCGGCATCCTTAGCCAGGAACCCTCTTTGGAGTTAGGCACCTATGCCACTTTTGCAAGAGGCTGGGCGGGGAGGAGGGCCTTTTTCACAAGTTTTAGCCCAGTGGTTCGGATTCTCACCTGGAAGACCCCCAGGTAAAATCCCCCCTGAGGATTTGAACTGGGATCTGCCCCATCTTAGGTGAGTGCCCTAATCGCTGGACATGCATTTGCTCTCTGTCTCCCTGGCCCAAATGACTAATTATTTATCCACAGTGGAACAGCCTCAACAGGAGAGATTCAGGGAGCCCCACATAGGACTATCCCATAGCCCAGTGGTTAGAGCACATTCCCGAGAGGTGACTGAGTCCAGTTAAAATCCCTTCTCCCCCTCAAGTGGAGAGGGGACTTGAAACAGGTGCTCTCCCACAGCCCAGGTAAGCACCCTAACCACTGGGCTAAAAGAGCCATGAGGGAGGGCTACTCCCCTGGCTGACTTGTGTGTGCCTGAAGGGCCCAACTGATAAGCCGCCTCTGAGCATGCCTACGGCTCAGGCCCCATACATGACTTAAGTGGCCAAACTCCTACTTCCCGCCATGGGGCATAGGCAGGAGCCAGGAATCCAGACTCCTAGAATGAGGCAGCAGTGCACATGCCCAGAGCCTCAACCACTGTCACCACAAGAACTTTTACAGCAGAAATGTAGGCGCTGAGAGAGTTTAGGCACCTAGAGGGTTTGCCAGTTGTGTGAATCACCTAAAACTGGGACGTGGGGCCTCGACCCAGACTTAGGTGCCTAAGTCCCTTTGTGAATCGAGGCCAAAGTGACTGGGTAGTGCAGTCAGGGAATGCTGGCAGAGCAAAGGCAGCGTCTCAGCAGCACAAGGAATTAATAGAGCAAGTGGGGCTAAGTTGTGAAGAGAGAGAAAGGTAAGTAGCTCGTGGAGAAGGGGGAGCCAGAGGTGGGTGATGAGCTGGGAACCTGATGTTAGCAGCACTTTGAATGCACACAAGGGGGCAAGAGTTCAGTGGTTAAGGCTAGCCAGGAGGAGGTCGCTACAGAGCGTGAGGCTGCAGCAGGCAACGTGTGAGTGAATGTCCCGTGTCAGGATCTGAGCTGACCACTGTGCAGGCAGCCGTGGAATCCTTCAGCCCCACAGCCAGCACTGCACAGCTGCCAGCACTGTCACGCCATCCTCTGGCACTGGCCGCTACCCCACTTTCACCCAAGAGCCTTGAGTTTGTAGAGCGGCTCCTATGGGCCTGGAACTCAATCCCGTACCCGATGATCAACTCAAAGTCATTCTTAATAGGGACACAGGCTAGTGCCATAACACACGAGTCAAATACATAGCTGTAGAGTGAGCTGACACAGCACATCCTTTGAACTCCACCCCTGGTTAAAGAACCTTCCAGCCCTTCCCTGCTGCACCTGGCGCAGGACCCTGCTCTGGGCCGAGGGCTGCCTTTCCTTCTCTTTAGCTTCACGTACGCTGTAAGAGTGTGGGTGGGTTGCTCGGTTGGGGAGGGAGGAAGCGCAAGCACCTTGTTCTGCCCAGCTGCCTCCAGTCTGGAGGCAGAGAGGGGGGGTCTGAATGAGAATACTGGACCGACCTATTACGTCAGATAAGCAGCCCACTTGTCCCTGTCTCAGAGCTTAGGCTGGAACTGCCCCGGTGGCTGCAGCTCTCAGATCTGGAAACTCCATGTGAAGCTTAACCCTTAACATCACACAGATACCCCACTGTGATCTTGGCTCCCAGCCGCTCTACGAGGACTCTTCTTAGGAGGGCTGCTCACTGCCATGTGATTAATGTTAATCTGGTCCTTTGAGCAGGAGGAGGAAATGCTGGCGGGGGGAGGTATTGGCCTTTTCGTGGAGGGAGAGAGCAGATCTGGTGCTCCCCGGTGCACTGAATCAGCTACTGCAGCAGCACTGAGAACGCAGGCAGCCTCAGCTCTTCTGGGTTCAGCAAGAGCTTGTGTCCAGCCTGGCTAATTGAAACCTGCCTTAATGAGAGGGACTTTGGCCAAGACTCCCAGGTTTTCTCTCGGTGCCAAGGGACCTTGAACTTCCAGCGGGGTGCCCAAGCCTTGCTTTACCATGCCGCCCTACAGCACAGGGCCACTGTTCCCAGATCTCTCTCCTAGCTGTTGGCTGTTTGCCTTCCCTGTGTTTAAAAACAGCTCAGAGCTTGATTTTGCAGCACACCGGCCACCTCGAGCTGCCATTCGTGTTGCCAGTGTTACGGCTCTGCATTGGGTGCTGTAGGCTAGCGCACTTTCTGTCCTGTTCAGAGCAGCACCGGTACCGTGGGAAGGGGAGGAAGTTGAACTTGTGCTGACCTCTTGCCGTTTCCAAACACAGAAGTGCGGGTGCTCGTATCTTCTCTGCTGGAGGCCTGAGTAAAGAGGGAGTTATAACATCCAATTCTGTGTGCTTACAGGAGCAGAAAGGCCCTGTAACAAGCTGGAGGAGAGGGGGGTCATTGGGTTTGTGTAGGTCACTTCCTGCCCTAGGCTGTAGTGTGTTGTTACTGTCTGCTGTTCAACAGCTGCTGGGTTCCAACCCAGAAGTGGCTGTATTGGACAATGGGGAGGGATGTTGGTATATGGAGAAAAGTGGCTCCAGCCGTCCAAGGTGCCATTTGTTGTGGGTGTTGCTATATGAATAGCTGCTGCAAATGCCACCTCCTTCCTGTACTGGCATGTGGGTGGGAGGAGCAGCTTGGGGGCTACCAGCAGGAACACCCAGGCTGAGCCCCTTTGTGTCTTATCGAAGTCGCCAAGCTGCTGGCAGGAGCATTTCGTAGATTAAACACCTCAGGCCTGAGTTCTGAGTTTACAGCCAGCTGCGACCCTTTGCTGGCTGCCCGTTCCCTTTAGGAGTGGGTGTGCAAACCTGCCCGCTGACCTTCAGGGCAATGCCCCTGCTGACGGAGAAGGTGTAAGTGAAGCTGTCCTGCTGCTTGCTCCCCTTCACGTTGGCGCGCTGCTGCAGAGGAGGCAGCTGGAATGTTTGTGGTGGGCCCTGGGACCGCTCAAACAGGGCCCGTCTCTGCTGTAGGAGCTGCTGGGCTCTCAGCACTGCAGAGGGAGAGACAGTCACGAGAAAGGGTCTGATTTCTCATTTTCTCTCCACACCCAGCCCAGGACTCCATTCCCTCTCCTCCCCCTCAGCCACCCGGGGTTCTGCAGCCCAAGCTAAAGATCAGGTGTGGTCAATATTCGGATGAGACTACCCCCTTCCTCCAAAGGGAAGTTCAGGATGATTCAATGGGGGTGGGGTGGGGGAGGTGGGTGGACTCTTCCTAAAAGCCTGTGCCCCAGCACGGTGCCAGATGTAAGGCCAAGGTCTTGGCTTCTTGTCATGGGAGAACCTCTTGCATTTTTCCTCAGAGGCAGGAAGCTCCCTCTGGTGTTGTGGTCAAATCAACTCTGGTAATAATATTCTGCCGCTCTTTAGTCCCCCTGCAGTTTCCTGTGGACGGTGATACTTCACTTCCCCTTGTGTAGTGACTGGGGCAGTGTGACTGCTGTGGCCTACCCCCATGTTGGCTGCACTTAAGTAGCACTGATTCTTGTCTCTACGTTGTCTGTAAAGCTTTTGGGATGAAAAGGGCTCGGGGAAGAGTAAAGGATCCGACACTGAGCCCTTGGAGGGACAGTTCTCTCTGCCCCAGCTCAAGGAAACAGCTTAAGTGCTGCCAAGGGACTTCTGTGGCTCAGCGTTTTGAAAGGGCAGCTTTGCGCCTGGAGCACCTGGCCAGCGTGGAGGAAAAATCTCTCAGCTCAGCATCGTCCCTGCAGATGTTTACTGATGTGGGTAGAGCAGGCACTTAGCCTGCACGAGACAGGAACTGGTGGTAAAAGCCTGACCGGGCAATAAATACTCCATTCTACAAGGCAGTCCCGTGGGGAATTCATCCCTGAGGGCAGGACCACCCTTCTGCAATTGCTAGGGGCGAAAGGCCCTACTAGCCTCAGCGTGATTTCGGTCTGCACAGGGGACAAGAGACGCACAAAGCTGAGCCGTGGGGGTGCCCTTCCCTGGGGCCAGAGCTGCACCATGGGCTTGAGATAAACTGGGTGAAAAACACCCCTCCCTGCCCAGAGAATGAAAACCAGGAGTGGGGGACATCTGGCCATTCACTAGGAAGTGACCTGCCCCACCCAATGAGAGATCAAAGGTCCTTTACATCCTGCCTCAGCTCTGGGCAGCTCAAGGTGCTGACAGGCTGGAGGGAGCTCAGAGATGAGTCCCACAAAGAGCAGGAAAGTCTAGCTAGGAGCAGTGGATGAAATAAAGCAAAAGGAGCATTCAGGTGGCATCACTCCTGCCAGGGTAAGCTACTGGGCTCTGGCATTATTTTCCCAAGGGGAATGAGGAAGGCTTCATGTGAGCCACACAGGTCATTTTTTTTTCAATTGGCCATGGGCCTTTGTGAGAGCCAGGCCTGCACGTGCTGTTTCTTTAGCATGGGTATTGCACTTGCAAATGTAAGCACACAACTGTCTGCACATGCCCCTTCAGCCTCTCTTGCTTGAAGTGTGCTGCCCAGCTCCCACAGCAGGGAACCCTCCTGGAGCAGCTGCAAAATCCCTGCCATCTCCTGCTCCTCGGATTCTCCAGAGAAGGAGTGGGCTCCACAGCCTGACAGGGGCTCAGGGTGATGAACGTACCCGGGGCTCTCTGGGCACTCTCAAGCGACCGCTTCAGCCAGGCCTTTCGGAACCCAGCCCAGTACGGCAGTAGGGTGCTGAAGACAGACTCCCTCAGCTCATCGAACAGGCCGGGAGGTGGTGCTGGGGCATTCTGCTGGAGGGCCTGCTCAGCTGCCCGGACAGCTCTCCCCAGCTTCTCAGCATCCACCGCCACCTAGAGAGCAAGCCACAAACACGCTCAGGGGCCTGGGGCAGGGGAGCAAGTCTCCATGTTACCAGCTGCAAAAAGATCTGCTAGATATCCCAGCTGCTTCTATGCCAGTTTGGCCTCTCATTCTGCACAGGCTGGGTGCTGGGCTCTCTCAGCCCAATGCTCCCAGAGTGCAGGTGCTGCTGTGCAGGGCGTTTCCCAGACCAGGTGAGCTGAGAACGGGCGTTGGGGGGGGGGGGGGCGTGAGCGTGGGGAAGGTGGGGAAGGCGTGGCCGTGGGGAGGTAC